GGGGGGACCCTCGTCCAGCGCTGCGCCTGCACCCTCCCGCCCCCAAACGGCTCCCTCCATCCCCATCGCCCAGTGCCACCCGCGCCCTGCTGCCGCCTGCCCGCCATGGCCCTGCACTTACGCTCTCTTCGGGTAAATGTTTCCAGTCCTTTTGCAATCATAGATGGTGAAACTGGCCCGGATAATGTTTTTGCTGTTGACCTGGAGAGCAGTTTCGACGACGACGTGGTCTGAGAGAATTAAGCCAAAGAATATTGGGTTGCAAGAGCCTCTTGCTCATGCTCATGCTCAGAAGACAAGACAGACTCTTGGGAAAACAAGGGCTAAATCTGATTTGTTTTCTCCAGGGCTTCCTCCGAGCCGCATTTCAGAGCTCGGACCATTCATCTTTTGCCCTCTGACTTCCAGCTCTCCCTCTTAAATCAAGGCTTTACATCACCCTCACCAGAAAAGAACATTGCAACTTTCAGCAGAAAATTCCAGCGTGTTGTGCAAGTGTTAATTAGCAGAGTTAATTATTGTCTTCGCTTACAGTTGGTGCTAAATGATATTTCAAAAAAATGTGGTAATTAAAACATGTTAGTTATCATGTTTTAAAACCCCGCTCACTTTCCCCATGACAACAAACCCACAGAGAAGAGTGGAAATCCCTTTTTTGGCTACCTAACACACTATACTAACTCCCCTCCCCCCAAAATTGCTTAATTTTTTTTTTCCTTGCAATTTTGCCATATAAGCACCAGGGACAAGAGACAATGCCTCTTTCAGAATATGTACAATAAATCAGTGCATTGGATTCCAGAAATTCATTTGGACATTGCTGTAACCAACAATACAGAACAGTTAATGATCTCCCATTCTTTGGATAGCTAGGGAGAAAAACAATGCAGCTTTATAAACTTGCCTATGAAAAGTGGGATTTCAAAAGGACTGGCTAATTCTTCTCCTACTGAAGTCAGCCATCTTCAATAGAGTATTCACTCCAGGCTTGAAAGATGAAAATTTAACAAGCACTCAAGTCTGGAATGAAGCATTGAACTTCTCAGAAGGAGCTGTAACGTGGGGCTGTCTCCATCGCTAAGGGGCCAGTACCAGATCGGCCAGCTCGGCTGCCAAGGCTCGGCTGACTTCAACCAGATCTGCAGGTGCTCATCACCTCTGGAGCGCAGCTCCACAGAGCCTCGGGCTGCGCACCCCCGTTGGTACCACCTGAAAACAGGGGGACACTAGAAGACCTTCAGTCTGGTTTTTGACTGCATAAACGGGATTAAGAGTTTCTGAGCTGCCTTTAGGGACGCACTTGCTCTTCTTCCAGAACTTCTCCTGAAAGGTAGCGCACATTCGGGAAGGAAATTAAACAAAAGCGATTGAAAATATCAATATAAGTAGCAACATTATTTCCCCAGGGCTAAAACAGTTTTGGTTTGGTACCTACTAAATCTAAAGCAGAAGCTCTAACCAGATAATCTTAATAAAATAAGTACAACTGGCTTTTAAATTCTGACGTTTAAACAAAAATGGATACATTTGATATACTGTCAATTCACGTTAAGGTGGTGGAACTCACTATGCTTTAAAGTCATAAGCCCTATAAAACAGAAGCAGCTTGAGCCTTTTTTCCCCTTTATGCATTATTGGCAAATACAATCGGAAAAATAAAAAAAAAATTCCTATGAAAAATTATATCCACAAAAGTGGTTAGAATGAACCGAGCTTGTTTTCCTCTACACACCTTGGTCATCTGGAAATGCTGGATATTTCTCGCGTGGAAGTAAACTGCAGTAAATAAATTGGTTTACGTAATCTCCAGCAATTCTGGCTACCATGTGGATATTATTTCCATAGTCACATGAAATATTTGTTCCGTTCAGGTTCGGAATAGTCCCATTTATCTGTATTATCAGGGCCTATATTGGGCAAAACAATAAATCAGTTATTATCACACAAAATTATATTAAGGATTTGTCACTGTTTGGCAAGCTTTCCTTAGGCTAGCGATGCCAAAACAAGCCCACAGGTAGCCCTTTTCTTCCGTTTTGTGCACTTTGAACTCCAAGAGCCACCCGCACGCAGAACCTCGCCTCAGCAGTAGGAGCTCTGCCACCACCAGCTCCAGCAGCCGCAGCTGCCACGAAACCCCCGCCCAGGGCTGCCCCGGCAAGCGCTTGGAGGCAGAAGCTCCAGCTGGGAGGCAGAAGCTCCAGCTGCGTGGCCCACGACCCACCACGAGCCCTGTCTGTCCTGCTCTGGGCTGGGCTCCTCCGCCCTAGCTGCCCCCAGGCTCTGGGGACAGAGGAGGAGGAGGAGGAAGAGCAGAATAAAATTAACCCCTGCTTCTGAGTGCCTGACCCTCCTGGCTTGTACCAGTCCGTACCAGGGACCGGTGACGGGAGGTGTCGAGCTGCTGGGAGCCTGCTGGGAGGGTCGTGGGAGCGGCCACAAGCCAGCCTTCCCCCGGCACACGCGGGCCCAGCCGGCCGACTGCAGGGTTTGCTTTTAGCTGTCACCCTCCAAGGGGGAAGTTTTGCAGAAAGGGAATGCTTTTGGGGAGGGCGACTCAGGAAAACACACAGCCCACGTGCTTGGCTGGCTTCCCCTGCCACCAGCGGGGTGACTCCCTGCGGACCCCAGCCCACCGCTCCTGCGCAGCAGGAGTGGAGCCGGGCCATGGGACCCCTCTCTCCAGCTCCGGTCTGGGCTCTGTCCCAACCGCTGCCTGTTCACGAGCGACTTCCCCATGTTAGGGCTGATCAAGAGCTTTGGCACAGAGACACTTTTGCCATTGGGAGAGGGTCTGCCTTTAAACGAAAAATATTTTGATGAAAACATTTTAAATGTTATTAAAATACTGTTAAAAATAGCAACAATATAAAACCAGAAAATCAGTTGATTTAGCTGCCTGCAGCTGATCTTCTGAATTCCAGAATTTTGCAAATCTCCAGTGAGTTCAGCACAGCAGCTTTAGAAGTCCTGTTCACCCACAGGCTCAGCAGTGGGTGTCCTGCGGTCTTCCAGGGTACCGAGGCGCAGGAGGTCACCTCCAGGCGCTTTTGAGAACCTTGGCCTGACTCGGTAGCATGCAACAGAGCTCAGCATCCCCACGAGCCATACCCGAGCTGCGTGGAGCCACATTGCAATGCTAGAGCAGCATAGATATTTATCAGCCCTGAGAGCAGGTAACAACTCCACGGGACGCTGCACATGATTAATTTGGTATTCACGTCAAACACACCGGGTTCTCTTTGTCGATATTAATCTCAGGCTCCAAGATGGTCATGGAAGGGCACTGCTGCACTCCTTCACTTGCACTTGCCCAGAAGTTGGCCCCTGTGAAGTTGGTGCACTCGTGCTGCAGAGAACACCTGCAATGAACAGGGGAGCAATTCGTGGTTGATTATTTTTAAAACACGTGATTAAAACGTTGACTTCCTTGTGAGGGAAGATGCTGAGAAAATCCTGTGCCTACATCTTTTTCCTCCATCCATGCAGCTAAGCCTAAAGCTTTGCTGCTCTATTTAAAGTGTCTAGTTGCCACCATAAGAGCACATACTCCCACCAGCATCAACAGAGCACCAGGATTCAGGGTAAGTGAGAGCAGCCCAGGCTGAACCCAGAACTGAAGAGAAGGTGACATTTTGTCCGACTTCTTCAATTTGTAAAAGCGGAGTCTAATTCTGTAAACCCTTTTTTAAGTGCTGATTCTCACCTACTCATAAATAACTGCAAGTGCAAAAGACGGTCTTTAACAGGGTGTTGGTTCCCTCAGTCCCATGGCTGGATGCCTGCAAGATATTCTTTGCACTGGCAGCTGACTGCAGCATAACAATGCAGCTGCAGTTAAATCCTGGCTCTGAAGAGCATCCCAACCCTTTGAAACCAGACGCAATTGTTTTTAAACACACCTATTTCATAAGGAATGGACAAAGACTAATGGTAGTGTGACCGTGTGGAAATATAAAAGGCACCAGAAATTGTTGCCCAGGCTTGAGGGCCAAAGTGCACTGGGACACAATCAGTCCTACCTGGTCTCCATCGTGCACCACCCGCAGTAAGCGTCAGCGGCGGCCAGGCACTCCGTGCACGTTGAATACTGGTCGCAGGCAGCCACCTTCACCCGTGTCATCTGCACAACAACAGCACAACTGCTTCCAAATGTGACAACACCACAGAAACACTCAGCCCAGCCGGGGTTTGCTGCTATGGCCACATGTAGCCAGCGACGAGACACCAGTGTCTTGGGCTGCTTTACCCATTAGCCTAGACCAAGCCCTACAGAACAGACAACAAGGAGCAGACTCGGGCACCGCCGTTCTCTGTGTACGACCAGCCTGCACTGGGACCGGCACAGGCAGCTGCCCACCGCCCTGCTGGGGCTCCTAGCAGAGCCTGTCCTAGCCCAGGGGCCGGGTGCCTCAGGGCAGGTAAGGACACCCAAGGGACGGGGCTTGCTGCCGCCAGCACAGTTGCCCCGCAGGGTGCACAGCAGCGCCAAGCTGAGCCGAGCTGCTCCTTTTCAGCCAGCACCTTGGCAATGGATGTGCGATGGTCAGGCCACGGAGAGCGGCACCACACCTTTCTGCTGCGTCAGATGGAGGTGGTTTCACAGCTTGTCTCTCCCTGTGAAAAGCTCTCACTCAGACCTGCAGACAGCTCCTTGCTAGGCAGAGCTGAACGCTATCTGGCTGTTCACAAAACGATCAGAAAGCAACACCACTTGGAAACCTTAATCTGTAAAGAAATCAAAGCATCTCTGGGGACTTGCTCGGCAGGAGCAGTTGGAGGGAAAGCACATGGTGGTTTCTGCTTTTTCCTCCCTCAATTTCTAAACGTTTGAGAAGGAAAACTGAGTCATTTGGTACAGTGGGAACTGGCAAAGTGAGATGCTGGGAGCCCTGAGCTCCCATCAGGCACCTTGGACTGTGGGCTCCTTGGCCTGACCCCCACTTTACCTGCAGCACTTTGCTGCTCCCCAGCTCTGCTGTGCTCAGCAGCCCCCCAATCCTACTGAGCTCCTAGGGAGCTTCCCAGGATGTTAATCCCACTAAAGAAAAATTAACTCATCCGGTTTACTGGAAAAGAAACAGAGAGAGGAGAGCATCACAAGTGCTGCGCTGGGTGTTTGGTCAAGCCCAAATGAGGTGCACAGCCCAGCCTGGGAGCTGAGCTGAGACAGTCTGGAACATCAGCTAAAGAGGCATCCCGGGAGGGTCCTGTGAAATGATAATGACCAATCTGCAGGGAATTAGGGCTTGGAAAATATAAATGCAACATGTAACATTTGTGGTTGTGCATCTGTTTTGACAGATTAAAATGTAATTCAGGACAAACCACCAGCGCCTGGAGCACTCAGCTCTCATCTTCCTTCTCTGCTCACTTGACGGAGATGAGACCGTCTGTTTCTACCTGCTGCGGCATTCCCAGTCTCTGCCGAGAGCCCTCCTCCCATCCAGCCCTCCTGCCCGCCAGGCTGAGCAGAAACCTCCCCAAGGACCATTTCTGACAGGCAGACTTTTTGTCTGCAGGATCGCCTAAAAGCCTCCTTAAAGACTATGTACCGTAATTTTGGGATTTCTATACAGGAAAAAAACCTCTGTTTACTTCTGCACTCCCATAAGTGGGATCAGCTTCGTTATCTTTCACTCTTCTCTTTACCTGGCCACCACAAAGACAAGGGAGCCTGACAAGCCGGTCTGCTCAGCATCCCCCCCCCCCCCGTGCAGGGGAATGGACAGGCACAGGTCCCCCCCCCCCCCCTCCCCAGAGAGCCCTTTGACACCCCAGCCAAACCTCTGAACTTCTTGGCTCTGCCCATTAATGCTAAAGCAAATGTTATTGTCCCTTCCTGCTTCCAGCTTAGTGCTGCACACTAAGTCAAATGCATGATGCTCAAAGGGCTATTTTGCTGACGCCTGAAGATCTCACCTGATAGGAGGTCATCAGATAGAGGTAGGTGGAATCAGAAGGGTCGAACTGCATGATGGGGTGGACAGGCTCTCCGTAAGCCACCGAAATGGATCTCCTGCTTATGACCTTCATGGTACTGTCCAGATTAATCTGTAGTGAGAAGAAGCCACTCACTGAGACCATTTTTCAAACACTATGGGGAGAAGATTATTTTTCCTCAGTTATAAACAAGAACCAAAGCAGTATCTAATTGTGTCCCACATTTTCAAGCACTGTAAATCTCTACACAGTTTGCAGGCTGCACGCACAGAGCTTTACTGAAAAGCCAGCTCTGTGCCACAGGAAAGGCACTAACTGGCCCAGAAGGCCCAGGCCACGGCCAGGAGCCCCGCTCAGTGATGAACAACCCTCGCAGCCCTTGGTCCCTCTGTTTAAAGCCCTCTGTTTGAGAGGCTGCCTGGAAAATGGCTAGTCCAGGGCTCTACTTGCTGCACGGCCATTTCCAGCAGGCCCCAGCAGCGTCACTCTCGCTTTACCCCAAGGTAAGTGCCACCAGCCTTCAGCCCTCATTGAACACATATGCATGCTTCTGTTAAAAGAACACTGCATGTCCAAAGCTTAATGAAAAACAGTGAACATCAGCAACAGGGCTGTACAACATGGCACCCCCCACTCCCTGCATATTTGAAAAATAAGTGTTGTCATCCCTGGCCAAAAGAAGCTTTTATCCCTGCTAACTCCAAAAGACCACGGCAGCTGCCGCAAGAAAGCCGAAGCCTACCTTGCCTCATGAATCACCAGCCAAAGCGCTGGCAGTGATGGAAGAGGCTGCAAAGCATCAGCCTGCCTTTCCGATCTCAGAATGTCTTGGCATTTGACTTGAAAACTCAGCAAATTAAATGTGGCATTGCTGAGAGGAAATAACAATAGGGCTACACAATTTTGCGTGACAGTCACTTTTCCGCTTAAAACAGAAAGGGAGCGAGGAAAATTCCTACCTCCTCACTAGCAACGGAAGGCAATAATTGTAAGGACCAAGTGTGCCTCTGCTCTCTAAAGTCTGGATTAATTAATTAACATAGGATTAATTAATTCTTACAGTAGAGCAGCACTGACATGTCCTAGTAAGATAGCACAAGCTCAAAGCAGAGGGTTTCCCTATGCTAAGAACCATATGCAAGCACTGCAAGCTACTGTGAGGAACAAGAAGGGAACTACCATTATCCCCATTTTAAAAGCCGGTTATCCAGAAGCTAAAAAATTTGCCTGGGATCACCCAAGACATCCATGAACTGAGTCCCAGCGCCCTCCACTACAGGTTTGTGACCATCCTCTCTCCCTTCCTGCT